CACACCTGCATAATTCCTTAACTCCCTCTCCTCCACATTCACCCCCACCACACAACTCTTATCAAAGTTCACCTTGAGGTTAGACATCTTCTCAAAAAGTTGTATTGCTAATTTTAAATTCCGGATCCAGCTTATATTCCCACCCTCACAAAACAAAATTGTGTCATCTGCAAATTGGAGATGTGTTAGTGGTACCTCCTCCCTGTCAACTCTCCACCCTTTTATCAGATTCCTCGAGTCTGCTCTATGGATCAATCTCTCAAGTACATCAGCCATCAGGGTAAAAAGAAAGGGGGAGAGTGGGTCTCCTTGTCTTATACCTCTCAAAGCAGGAAAAAAGTCAACCACTGTTCCATTCACCAATATAGAATAGTGACAAGTCCTAACACAACCCCAAATCCATTTACACCACCTATCTCCAAAGTCATAGCTTCTCAACACCTCCACTAAAAAAGACCAATCCACTAAGTTATAAGCCTTCTCCAAGTCCAATTTGCATACCACTCCCTTCTTCTTAGATTTTCTGAAGCTCTCCAGACTCTCATTTGCAATGAGGATTTGATCAGTGATTTGTCTTCCCTATACAAAAGCTCCTTGGTTGGGTGCAATAATAGAGGGGAGGACCTTCTTTATCCTGAGGGACAACACTTTTGCAATTATTTTATACAAGCTATTCACCAAACTAATAGGTCTGAAATCCTTAGGCTGTGATGCCTCTTTCTTCTTTGGGACCAATGCAATGAAAGTTGTTCAAGCCCGAATTAATTATTCCCCTACTGTGAAACTCCTCGAAGACTGACCTAAGATCCTTCTCCACTATATCTCAACAATCCTGATAGAAAGCCATTGTGAAGCCATCTGGGCCTAGAGCTTTTGTCCTATCCATTGAGAATACTGCTACCTTTATCTCTTCCGGATCAAACCTCTTTTCCAACCATTCTCTGTTTTCTGCACTTAGAGTCAGCCACTCCAAACCCTCCAACCACACCCTCTCATTCAAAGGCCTTTTGAATATAGATTTGAAATGAGTTACTAAGGCCTCTTCTATTTCTATCGGGTTTGCCAAGACTGCTCCTTCTACTTCCAACTTTGATATGGGATTCTTTTTTCTCCTCCCATTTGCCATTGAATGGAAAAATCCAGTGTTTCTATCTCCCTTCTTTAGCCACTTACACCTAGAATTTTGCCTCCAACTTATTTCCTCCTTAATCAGAATATCCTCCATCTGCCTTCTCAACTCCCATCTCATTTTCCTGTCTTCCTCTCCAAAGGATCCCCTCTCTTCCTTCATATCCAAATCCTCAATATGCTCTAGCAGGACTTGTTTCCTTTCCTCTAATCTCCCAAACTCCAACCTATTCCACTCCTTTAATTGTGATTTTAGAAATTGAAGTTTCTTGTGGGACCTCATTCCCTCCCACTCTACTACCGGATTATATTGCTCCCACCACTCCCTGATCTTCTCACTGAATCCCGGATAGGTTAACCACATATTTTCAAACTTGAATGGAGTGGGTCCATCACCTCTCAATTCCTCCTTACACATCACTATAGGCCAATGGTCTGAAGTAATTCTTGGGAGTGCCCTAGATACTAGGTTACCCCAATGTTCCTCCCAGTCTGTTGAGAACAAGAATCTGTCCAGCTTGGAGCATACTGGCCTTGACTAAAGGTTGGACCAAGTGAAGTTAGTATTTAGGAGTGGAATTTCTTTAAGCTCAAAAGTATCCACAAAATGGTTGCACTTTCTCATACTAGTTGTCACTCTTTGTCTGGGGTTGTTGGTTTCCTCTGTAAACCGCACTACATTAAAATCCCCTCCCATACACCACGTTCCCTCCCAGAGGCCCCTAACATCACTCAATTCCTCCCACAATTTCTTCCTCTGCCTGTAGTCATTGGGGCTATAAACGTTTGTTAGTACCCATTCGTACCCGTCTTCCACCTGTCTGAACTTCAGGGAAACAGAGTAATCACCTATTAGCTCCTCCAAGCCGATTAGTATATCTTCTTTCCACAGTGTTACAATCCTGTCTGAGGATCCCCAAGATGCAGCGGCCACCCACTTGATTCCCCTATCTCTCCACACACTCCTTGCCCATCTACAATCAAAATCCATTCTTTTAGACTCTTGGATCATTACCAACTCCGGGTTAAACTTCTTAATCACCTCTTTAATTGTTACTCTCTTCCTAACACTGCCCAAGCCCCTTTCCTCCACCCTCTACTTAACCCCTTTCCTTCTATCCCCTCTCACCTCAAACTTCTTATCCCCCTCAATATCCCTTTTCAACCTCTCTACTTCACTCAACTTTCTTTTCTTTTCCTTACTATCCTCTTTTTTATGCCGATAAACTTTTAGATCATTTGGATTCTTCAATTTACACCCCAACTGTTGCACAAATTCTGCAACTGATTCTTCCTTGCTAGTTTCCTCCTTATCTAAAGTTCCTCTCTTCTCACTCCTTTCCTTATATCCTCCATCATTTGTCCTTTCTATCCCTTCTGTAAACCCCCTCTGCATTTCCTTCGTTTCCACTTCACCCATTAGACCCTCAATGATTTCCCAAATCTTTGTCTCCCTACAAGTTTTCTCCACCACTTCCTCCCCTTCTTTATCCCCTTGTACCCCCACTGTGGCTTTCTGACCATGGGCCTCAGACACTTGGTTGAGAAAGGAATCTGGAACAAGGGACACAGAGCACTCATCAGTAGCAAAAACTAAATTGACAGAGTTAACAGAAATACCTGAAATCAACTGAGGGTGGAGAGGGGTATTCAAATGAGGAAGATTGGTTGTCACTCCCTGTTCAGAGAAATTGGAGCTCCTCGGATTGGAGGAAATTAATCCCCATCACTTGGTCTGCACAAAGACCTCTTCCTGTACCCAATTGTTTACCCCTCTGTGATGTACTCTTGTTCAGTTCAGAGTAAACCCGGGCTGACTCCTTCTCGGATTCTTGCAAGACACTAGAACTTGGGAGGGGCACGTCCAGTTTTGGGCTAAGGACTACTCTGTTGCAGGTGTTTGTTTCGTTCACCCACTCCTCCCCTTTTTCCTTTTGTTCCCCCACTGCCTCCTCAAGAAACAGAAGTTCCAGATTTAACGTTCCCCTGTTTTGATCTTCAATATTATCTTCATTTTCCAAGCTGCCCAAACTTTCAAACTCTTCTGAATTCTCATCACAATCATTCTCTGAGCTGCAGCTTATCCATCCTTTGTCTTCCTCTTCCCTCTCTTCTATTCTGTTCCTCGCATAACGCGGGTTTGGGCGATCGAGACCAAGGCTTTGCTGCTCGTCACCGGCCTGTCTACATACCCAATTCAGAGTCCGATTACCCCCTGTCACACGTCTGTTCTGGTGTTTCAGGTGTTCGGCCGAACCCTCCTTAGACGATGATAGATGACAAGTTTCATCTATCATCGAGTTTTGACAAAATCGCCCCACGTGATAACTTAAGTTGTCACGTGGGCCTCTTAAGGTGCAACCAGGTTCCCTTCTTGGCTCACCTCTTTTTCTAGCCGGTTCAGTTTTTGTTACAGCCAGTTCAGAAAAGGATTTCTTAACATAAACCGCTCGCCCTTTTCCCCTTCTGGCCACGTCAGCAAAGGAAGGGCCACCCCCAGAACTCAATTTATTTTCAAAGAAATTTGAATTGATAGCCTTAAAGGGAAGGCTTCGATACAAGTACCCTCTCTGTGACTGTTCCCCTTCCTCTTTCACTCCCGCATGCACATCAGACTTTCCCTCCAATCTTTGAGAGCCATGTGTGCTCCAACTTGCGAGCTCCTCTCCATCTCCTTCCTCTGTTCGTCTTCCCCACAGCGACGCCTCAGCTTCTGAGGCCGCCCAAACTCTGTTCCAAGCACCATCTGAGTGCACTTCAAAGGAACGAGGCACATTTTCTGGTTTGATACCTGCGACTTTGAGTTCTACAGCACGCAAGCACCTCAAGTTCACCTCCAGCAGGACACCCCTCAAAGCTCTTGTGAGTCTCCTGAGAGTAGGTTCGTTCCAGAGATTGAAGGGTAGCCCTAGAAGCTTGATCAGAAGACTACCAGCTTTTGGCTCTACTTCGTTGCAAACTGGAATCCAGTTTTGAACCTGTTTCCTTCTACTTGGACGGTGCAAGAGTTCAATTTCTTATTAGTCTTCCTTCTACTCATTTGAATATGCTTTACATGCTATGTTTATGTATTTTAATTTTGGATAAAGGTTTTGTAAATCATTTATTTTAAAATCTAAGTTTATATTTTTATTAATATTATGCTTAATAATTTTTTGTTTTTCTTTGCATTTTTTCCATTTTTGGCATCTTTTTTTATTTTTTTAATTTTTGTGCCTTGCTTAAAAAGGCGCACGGCTCGCCTTGCGCCTTGTGCCTCAGGCGCAAATGGACCCCTGCGCCCTTTTTGCGCCTTGCAGTTTTAAAACACTGCATTGGTCTGAAACAACTTTGTTATATTTGATCCTGTAATCAATGCCATCAAGCTTTAGTGGCACTGACATTTTTAATAGGACCACAAAAGTACCAGAAAGGAGTGCAATTGAGACCAGAGAAGACACATCCATCCCCTAAAAGGCCAAGGGGTTACCAATAGAACTGGAAGAATTGGCCCAGTTAACCAGTTTATGTCATGGACCTCATATCTGGGCTCAAGCATATTCAAAATAATGAGTAAAATGCAATAAAACCCACATGTTGATCTGGAATAGAGTATGATTTGATTCTGTTTTCTAAGTGTTAGCTCTTGGCTCTAGTATATAGGAATTATTTTGTTCTATTTGTCTGATGGTGTTCAAAATCTCACTGCTTGCATTGAAACTCATTTAAGATTGACTTGATTTGATTGATTTTCTTACTTAAAACTTCATTTTTTTTAGGATTTGTTTTAGCGGATATTTCTTTAGTTTACTATCTTAATCCTTGATGTGTTGTTTGGTGCTGTCTTTTGGAAGAACCATTGCATAACACATGTTCGTTTTATTTCTATGAAGGGTTGCTAGGACGGTCATATTTGGTGGACTTCTTAGTGTTGACATGGCTGAGGAAGTTCACCGTCGCACCAGAGAGGTTGGCACTGTATGTTCTATAAGCTATCCTCTTCCAAAAGAAGAGCTTGAACTACATGGTTAGTATCTCTAAGTTCCTATGTTTATGTTTGTTTGGTGAACTAAACTAAATAGGTGGTGTAGAATATGCTGGTTTCTTGAGTTTGATATTTTGTTACAATTACTGGAGATGATGATCAATTAGATTTCACTTGCACACACTGAAGCATGCCATGCAACAGGTTTAATATTGAAAAGCCAAGGGGTCTGCTGGGGTTGGGCAAGGGATGAAGTTTTTCATCAAGCACCTTTTGTTGGCTTCCAAGGTCTTTCCAATTTGCAATTTCTTAAATCACTGTTCAAAAAGTTTTTTTTTTCCCCAATTTGCAATTCTTCATCCTGTCCTGTCAATGTTCTTTCCGGACATGATTACAAACCATGGATTAAGGGGGACAAAGGAGGCTTTGAAAATGTAATTGGATGTTAGCAGTATGTGCAAACCTGTCACCACTTTATGTGCCATCATGTTCCACACTTAGGGTTTTTTTGGGGAGGGGGGTGAGAAAAGAAATGGTTTTTTTGGAACTTATTTGTGATTCTGTGACTAATGAATAAATGGCATTAATGCAAATATGCAATAAATAAAACATCTTTGTTTTCTTAGTGGTATTAGTAGGTCTATTGGTCTATTTCATTTTTCTACCTTAGTTTTTTGCTTCTTCTTAGATTATTTTCTTGATCTGTAGCTATTAGGGAAATTGTTTTGTTTTTTCTTGATTCCCCTTTCCTTCATGTCATATACTTTGATCCCTGTAAGCTCGCCTAGTTCATTTTCTCCCTCTGCATATTTTGACTGATACTGATGGGTTTAACGGGCATATTAGGAAAGATACTCCTTAGAGTCGTTGGATTAAAGGGTTTTAATTGATACTAGTACATATTTGTTTTTTAATTGAAGCATCTCTCCATGAACTCAAGCCATTGTGTGTTTATCGGATAGTAGAGCTTTTCTGTTAGAGAGATGGATATGAGAGCCATTGACAAATGACTAACTTGTGACATTATGTTCAGGACTGGCTAAGGATGGATGCAAGATGAATGCATCATCTGTACTTTATGCTAGTGTTAAAGCAGCACGTGCTTCTGTTGCTATGTTGCATCAGCAGGAGATAAAGGGTGGATGTGTATGGGCACGCCAGTTGGGTGGGGAGGTATAATATTACTTTTTTTTTGGAATGACTTTCTATCTTATGGAATGTTTTTATTATAACTGCATATTTAATCTGAAAACCTCTGATAGAAAAAACACTGTTTATTTGTACTCATTTCTTTTAATCTGATGATTTTTCTCAATTGGCACTGGACTGGTGAGCTATGGGTGTTGGAGTCTGATATTTTGTTTCTTTCAAAGATTTGAGACCCATTATTGCCTAGTTCATTAGCTTATTGTGCTTTCATCTTTGAGTGTGCCCTGTGCATTTGGGTTGGCTTTTTCCTACTTTGTTCAGTTATTTCAATATAATCAGCAGTGAATGTTCTGTGATTCTAGAAAAGGGGACCTGGTTTTGTCAAAGACTTGCGTGTAGTCTTCTTCTAGCCAACAATGTTGTGTAATTCTTACGATTTACAATACGTTTCATGATTTGAATTGTGAATCCCAAGGGTTTCAATTTGAATCTTATGTTTGAATCCTTTTCTGCAAAAATCTTATGATTTTTGTTTGAATCCTACAATTTGATTTCATAAACCTTACATTCATATGATTCCTGTGATTTTACTGTGGTTCAAGTAAACTTAATTAAGAATTAATTTTCTACTTTTGCATTTGTTTGTTTATATTTAGTTTTGTCAAGGGAGACTTGTTTTAAAGCCCCTATTAGAAAATGGATTATTTACACTATCATATTTTGCATCATATGTAAGTTAAATAGCCATTGCATGTGGATTTATTTGATTTTCAAGCCAAGCTTGATTATATCATCTTAGACTTCTATTGTATAAGTAGTAAATTCTATTGTTTTAGATACATCTATCGATTCAACTTTCTTTACGATTTATGACTATGATTTTCAAAACATTGCTAGCCAATATGAAGTCAGGCAACAAGATGCTTGTTTATGTACAAAATCTGCACCATAGTTTCTATCTTATGGCTCTTGCCTATAAGATGTGGTTCTCCGTAACACATTATAGTTGTCCTAAGGTCTTAGGCTTATTATAATAAATTAATAATATGGTCAAGGGAAATCTGCAGAACTCAGGAACCCTCAGAAGTAAAATGTTGCATGTTGGGGTGACATTTTGAACATGCACACTTTGATTGCACGTTGCATCTCAGGCTCTACAAACCTCTTGCTTTTTAGTTGTGTTTCTTGCTTTTAAAACACTGGATTGGGCTGTAGGGCTTAAGGACTTAAGTTCTTTCAGAAAAGGGGTATATGTAGTTTGGTTGCTGTTTTGAGTGTAGGTTGTACACCATAAAAATTGTTGGTTGTCATCTTTTTATACATGCTTGTGTTTCTGTACTCAATAATTTTCTTTTGTTACTTTAAATATTATATTCTTTCAGTTATGCTTGTATACCTGTAATTATCAGAAGTCCTCTTTTTGGGGTTTAATGATTACAATCATCTTCTATGTCTCATCATTTTGTTCACATGTTCAAGAAAGTAACTTATTGTCGACTTCTTCCATCTGTCCTTCATTTGAGCACAGCTTGCTTTGTACACCATGACTGCATTTCCTCTGCACATTTTGAACCATTTACCATCTGACATGTGGTGATATATTCTTTAAAATGTAACAATTAATTTTGATGGTTTTGTCCCCTTGTTATGCACGATCTGGAGTCAGATATATGAATTCCTGCATGATTGCTTGCAGGGTTTTAGCTCTTGTTGATTATATTATTCTATTTTATAGTGTTTATGTCTTTAAGCTTGAGTACTCTAAATCTTCTTTCTGCTTATATTAATCAGGGTTCCAAGACTCGGAAATGGAGACTTATAGTTAGGAACCTTCCTTTTAAGGTTGTTAGTATGATGATATTTTTCTCTTTCACCTGTTTTTCATTGACGGGAGCTTGTTGAATAAATTTTCATAGACTGTTGGTGCAGGCAAAAGTCAATGAGATAAAAGATTTATTTGCATCAGCAGGTTTTGTGTGGGATGTCTTTGTTCCACTAAATTCTAAGACAGGGTATATACCCATTTTGCAACATATGTTTCTTCTTCTTTCATTATCATAACTGATTTCTGGGAGAGAGATTGACTAATTTGTTTCTCTCCCTTGTTTTTGCTCGTGCAGGCTATCTAAGGGATTTGCATTTGTCTCATTCACGTGTAAGCAGGATGCAGAAAACGTGAGATTTTCTATCCATTGTTTGTTGAGAGCTGTGAAATTTTATCCTTTTTCTTTATTTTTTTCCTTTTATAAGTTTTCTATTTACTATAGAAACTTTATCTTTCCTTTCCAAGTTATTTTATTTTATTTATAATTTTTTTTCTCTCCAGGCTATCAAGAAAGTAAATGGGCAAATGATCAGTAAAAGACCAATTGCTGTTGATTGGGCTGTTCCAAAGAAAATATATACAACTGGTGGTAATTTGGTTGAGACTCAGACAGATGGTAACTTATGACCCTTTACTGCATTGTCTTTCTGAGACTCAGATGGTGGCAAATGATTGCGCATATACTAATTTATTTTACTATATCCCATTTGCAATTAAGGTATTTCTGATGCATTTTAAGGTGGTTAAGGTATTCCTTTTTCATGTATGAAAGAATTTTTACAAAAGCAAATTCTTAGGAGGTGTTTGAAGTGGAGAATTTGGTGCCTGGTTCATCACTTGTTTGATTGTTTGGATAGGTGATTGGGAAGCATCCAATATTTGGGGTTCCCTTCTGGGGTGACCTACAGGTTGTCTTCAATTTTGGGCCTCATCTGGAGAGTTTGGCCTCATGAGGAAAGGCTATTTTTCTAAACGGTGAAACCCTGCCCTCATTTTATGGGGTATTTGCAAAGCCATGGTATTACCATATTAGTGTGAATTAAGTGTAATGATAAGCCCTGCTTATGACAAAAGGAAGGCCTGGGCTGCCCAATGTCCACTGACCTATCAGATCCCTTTCCAGAATTTACAGAAAGAATGATTTTGTGAGGAGTTTAGAGGTGCTTCTCTCAATTATTTACTAAGGGGTTGGCAAGTTGTTGCTGAATTCCAAATCTGCAGACAGTGAAGGATGGTAGAATGGATTCCTCCTGCAATAGGGATGGTTAAACTTAACTTTGGTGGATGCTACCTGGGGAATCCCGGGGTTTCTGCTGTGGGGGAAGTTGTTAGGATCACTGTGGCAATCTTCTCAACTATTCAGGGCTTCAGGCCTGGTTGGTCAGGGTGACTCTTTGAGGGATGATTTATTGGCTCTAATGCAAGGGTTGAACTTGTTGGTGTTTCAGAGGATGAAGAATGTGGAAGTGGAAGGTGATTGCCAAACTATCATCCCATGGATGGAGGCACAAGATCAGATGCCTTGGAATTTAGGCCATGGATGAGACTGGCTCACTCCCTAGCTGTTTCTTTGAACTCCTCGTTCAATTGGGTGCTTAGGAGTGCTAACATGTTGGCAGATTCTTTGGCTAGAGCTGGGGTTGGGAGAGAAGTTAAAGAAAGGGGGTTTCCAGGGCCGGGCTGTAATATTTAAAAGTAGCTTGCTGTTTTTTCTGTTTCTTTTTTCTTCTTTCTTCTTATGCTGTGCTGAATCTCCTTAGGTGGAGTTGTATATTGTGGTTACTGCCTGCCCTTTTGTGTAGTTGGTGGCTTCTTTGCGTGAAATATATTCTGTTATTCATAAAAAAAGATTACCTAAAGAACACATTTCATTTCCTATGCAATTTTTGAACAAAGTTCATATCTCAAAACACCTTTTTTTGCTAGGGTACCTGCTACTGAATTGGCTGATTTATTAGTCCAGAGAATTGAGGTAGGATCAAATTCCTGCCTCTCTTAGAATTGTTGGCATCTCATGAGTCATGATACCTAGATACCTGCACAAGGGTTCCATACTACCATTTATGTCAGATACTTCAATTTTTTGTGTGAATTCATTCTCTGATATTTGTCCAGCTGTGTCCTTGCCATAGTTGTCAACTTGTCATCCTTATTAAAACCTCATAAAACTCACAAAATATCTAGTGCACTTTGGATCTCTTTTTGCGTTGTTGACCAGTTTTATGTTTAAGATTAAGAATTTGCAGTAGGTTTCCTCCCAAACCGATTGGGTGATATTTTTTAAATTCTATGTGTTTGGTTGTTATCCTGTTTACTTACCTAATAAGTTTGGGGTTTCCAGAATTGGGTTTGCATCTTATTCAGCTCAATAATAAAGCTGCACTTGGAAGAATGGTTTGATCTTCTGGGGCCAAGTGACCAAAGTGCAGAGTGAGAGTGTGAGCAGGAAAGCTTCTACCATAAAGAATTCTCAAGAGTGAATATGCAAGAGATTCATAAATAAATAGAGGGTGAGAGCATTTGCGTGTAATGTGCCCATGGAGGATGGTTTTTGTTAGTACATCTCATAGCTGTCAAAGCGCCACTTAGGTAGGTGTGTAGGTGGCAATGTGCCCATGGAGGATGGTTGCCTTGCAAAGGTGCCTAGCTTTTTTTGTACAAGGCATCGTATTTTGTATATTCTTATTTTCTGAAATTATAATTTAATAAACATTGAGTAATGGCCTTTTAATTTTCTGAACTTGTGATAATAAAAGACATTGTTAAACTAAATTATTCATTTTTTGGGTTTGATACTAGTTTCTGTTTATTATTTTCTTATTTGTTAAGGTACAATCTACACAAGGTGTATGCTGTCTTGAACCCTTGAAGACTTAAAAAACCTAAACATATAAGCAAGGAAGACTTAAGAAACCTAAACATACAGAAGGTTTCTTCTTCTTCTTGTTCTTCACTTCTTTTCTTCTTTTCCTATGACAAAAATAGGGGTTCAACCCTTATTTTTCTGAGTTTTCTTCTCATTCCTTTTCTTTTCATGATTATGTTGATTATATATATATATATATTTTTTTTTGATATGAAGTTTATATTTATTTGATGAAGATTATTGTTAATTACTAGTAAAAGATGCTTGCTGATTGATATTGAACCTTGGAAAATACCATAGGATTTAGTATAAAAAATACATCACCCAGGTGATCTCATGTTGCTGAGAATGAAACATCTTTTTATTGGTTCTGATAAACAGGTTTTCTACCTATTAAGTACAACAGATTTCATGTTTGGAAAAGCATCTTCAACACAAACACATGTTTATGGGTCAACCATTGTTGGGAAGTGAACAACTGGGATGTGTCAAATAGTCAATATTTCTAGCCAAACAAATACAGTATAGAACATCATCGAGGTCCTTCCTGTAATTGGTAGACAATGGGCATCTTCTTGATGTGCCTTCTACTGCAACGTCATTGCTTCAGATTTGTGTTTTTTTTTCCATAATTTTTTTTATTTTTTACTTTTTTTTTTTGTTTTGGTTTGAGATGATCTCATCTTCTTTTTTTTTTTTGATCAATAACAAGAAACTTTATTAAAGATATGAAACTATGTGAAGCTTAGGTACAAAGGGGAGGTAAAAAGACTTAACTCCCCATCAAAGAGTACAAGGAAAAAAATAAAAAATTAGCCCAAAAAATCGAATCCCTATTCACCCCTTGCTTTGCTAACCCACCAGCAAAGGAATTAGCAGTCCTCTTCACCCAGTTGTAATGAACCACCATATATTCTTCTCATTGTTATAACTCCATAATCCGCTGTCTCCCCCTTTTAGCCACCTAATCACCACCTCCGAGTCACCTTCAAGGACCAAACATCTGATGTTCAGCTCCCTTGCTCTTTGGATGCCTTCCAGGGCTGCGAGGATCTCAGCCCTAAGAGAGTCTCCTTCCCCAATTGGGCCTGAAAAAGAGATGATCTCATCTTCATAGAGATGTAACTGTGCTACTATGAAAATTGTATTTGTTTTTTCAACTTCATTGGAACAAGTTATGTGTGTTTACAGGGGCAGAGAATGATAGACATGATGAGAGTGACAACAGTAGCATTGATATGGAAGGTGATTATGCTGGGAGTGATAAGGATTCCCAACAGGTTGATGCAGAAGAAGTCCAAGAAGGTTCTGATCACATAGACAATGAAGTTCATTCTAAAGAACTGGATTTTGATGAGGAGGCAGGCATTGTAAAGAAAGTTCTTAATAATTTGATCACATCTTCTGCCAGTGCAACTCTGCCATTTGGTGGAAATTCCAGGTTACCACAAGGTAATGAGACTGCTATTGATGCTAAGAACAAGTTATCCATTCAAGAAAAGAGTTTGGATGTAGCTTTACCTCCGAAATCTAGCAAAGTTGAGACAGTAGCTCTTGGGCGAGTTGATAGTGAGGATGATTTACAGAGAACAATTTTTATAAGCAACCTCCCATTTGATGTTGATATTGAAGATGTGAAGAAACGGTTCTCTGCATTTGGGGAAGTGAAGTCCTTTGTCCCCGTTCTTCATCAAGTCACCAAGTATTCATCTTATCAACCTAGCACTTCATTAACTCTTGCATTTTTAGTTTTTTATTATAACCTTCTTGTGACTGTGGGCAGGCGACCAAGAGGCACAGGATTTCTTAGGTTTAATACAACATCTGCTGCTGAAGCCGCAGTTTTAGCAGCAAATGCTACATCTGGGTTAGGGATTGTTCTAAATGGCAGACAGCTTACTGTTTTGAAGGCTTTGGACAAGAAATCAGCTCATAAAAAGGAATTAGAGAAGACAAAGAATGAGGATCATGATCATCGCAACCTTTATCTTGCCAAGGTTATTTGATTCCTTTCCAGGTCATAGTGTAATATAAAGTGCTATATGGTGATGGGTGATATGATTCCATATAACGCTCTTTTATTGTCAACAGGAAGGTCTTATTCTTGAAGGGACATCAGCTGCAGAAGGTGTTTCAGCGAGTGACATGCTAAAACGTCAAATGTAAGTAAATGACATTCAAATTGGAGATTTATGATTCTTTATTGCCTATGATCTTCATTTGATGTGATTAAACCATTTCAAATGGCTATTCATATGGTGATTTAATACTAATTTAAGCTCCCCTGCATGTGATTATTTATTATTTATTCCTTTTCAAAGTCTTTCAAGCTGAGCATTTGTTCTTGTTCTTTCTGGGAATTGTATTGAGTGGCAAACATTCTGATTGTTGAATGATAGTTGCAACTCTAGTTAGGATTGACCATTGGTTATGTCGAATCTGGGTTGGTTCAAAAAGACAACTAACATGACATGATGGCTACTAAGCAGCTTCAGCATGCATACTTGACCTGGAGAAACTTAGGGGGTCATTTGATAAACAACTGAATTGGCTGAATGACGTTATTATTTATCAGTATGGCCTTGGGTGAATAAGCAGTTAAATAGGGAGCCAGCTCTTCAATTGCTGAATGGCATGTCAAGGTGACTATATTTCCTCTAAACATGTCATTATTTGATTATTTTATCCTCTAAAAAGAAACCAATAAGCAGTTAAGTTCAGCCAATTCAGCTGTTATCTCCTTTAGCGAGATTCACATCCACCACATACCAAACCATAAGGATGCATTTGGATCATTACATTTTGGGGGTCGAATGTGTATGCTGAGATGCATATGGAGCAAGGTTCAAAGTATCGTTACGTATCGGCCCGTATCGGCCGATACGTATCGTTCCGGGACCCTTCCGATACGCCCCTACAGTGGGTGTATTGGGGGTTTGACTGGTTCAGGGGATGGAGGGGTCCTAGACCCTCTCCCCTGGACCAGTTTTGAAAAAAAAGTAAAAAAAGGTAAAAAAACGAGTATTGAAACGCCCGATACGCCCCTACCGGCGTATCGGACGTATCAATATTTTGAACCTTAATATGGAGTGGCAGTCAAGAAACATGTCCAAAAAATGAATATGGTGAGATGGATGAGTGGAAAAGCTAGAAATGATAGGGTCAGATAATGTCATTAGGAAGGAATCTAGGAGTAACTCCAATCAAGATTCAAAGTATTGATACAGTCCGATATGCCGGATGGGGGTATCAGACTTTGTAACAGCACACTTTACATTTAATTTTTTTTTTCAAACCTGTTCATGGGGGTTGGTACAAGGCCTGTCTACCCCTGAAACACCCATTATTTTGCATATTGGTGACCCACTGATAGGATACGTATCCGATACAGGCCAATACATTGTGAAATTTTAATCCTTGACTCCAATAGGTGATAAATGAGAGAAAGTTCCTCAATCTTTTTCCCCTTTCTTCCACTCTAAATTTTCATTCTGCTTCAAAGAATCAAAGCCATCAAGTTCCTCAATCCTTCCAACAATCTCCTTTTTTTTTGATAATTCCAACAATCTCATTTTTTCTTTCCTCAAAATTTCCAAACTCCTCTTTGTTCCACTCCTTGATTCTAAAGTTCAAACTTTGCAACTTTTTATAGAAGCAGTACCTCTTCCATCTAAGTTCCACGTGGTCCTCCCACCACTTTCTCATTTTTTGAATAAACTCTGGATGAAGTAACCACATGATGTTCTCAAATCTGAAAGGACAAGAGCCTCCTCCCACTCTTTCTTGGGATAGCCTAATGGGGCAGTGATCTGAATCAGGTCTTGGCAAGGCTCTAGCTACCAAACCCCCTACCCTCCTCTCAGTCCTGAGAAAAGAGGAACCTATCTAGTTTACAACAAGTGGGATTCTCTTGGAAATTTGACCAGGTAAACTTTGCTTGTAAGAGAGGTAGTTCCCGCAATTCATAACTTTCCACAAACTCATTGAATTTCTTCATACTGCCATTATCCTGTGATTTGGGTTGTTTGTTTCATTTACAAATCTGAACACATTAAAATCTCCACCCAAACGCCAAGGACCCTCCCAGATACCCCTGATTGCTGCAAGTTTCTCCCAAAAGCCTTCCGTTTTTCTATAGGACGTTGGGCCATACATATTTGTTAAAACCCATTCCATGAAGATCCATAAATTTAAGCCTGAACCCTCTTCCACAGCATCAGAAACCTCAGAACCTCCAAGCTAAAGGTTTTTCCTGTGCATTTCCAAATCCTTAGCTGACACGGCAGGATTTAAGTCCTCTATTTTTGTTTTTCTACCATTGCGTTTTATTGGATAAGGATATTGGCATTTACTTTATACTTTTTTCAGTGTAATTTCTTTTCTACCTAAGATTTCCAGATAGGGATTCTAGAACAAAAAAGAGCGATTTCTGAGAATAAATTGGGAAAAGGTATTCCGGAATAACATTTGGTGATATGGATTAAAAGCCACAGGCTTTGTAGTTTATTTTGTTTTTTTCTATTGTCAGCAAACTTTGATCATATTTGTAATATATTTTATGAGTTTTATATGTCAAAGTCCAAGAATTTCTGGAATTATATGTGGATCGTTGATGGTCTTTTAAGTTCTTTGGCTTGGTGAAAAAATATAATAAATGAATTATGTTGTCTACAGGTTGTACAAGAAAAAAATGTCCAAACTAGAATCTCCCAATTTTCATGTTTCAAGGACTAGACTTATTGTATACAATTTGCCAAAGTCTATGACAGAGAAGGAACTTAAAAAGCTCTTTATAGATGCAGTTCTTTCCCGGGCATCCAAACAAAAGCCTGTGATTCGACAGGTTAGCTACTTATAATTATTATAATCATATTATTGTTTGGCGTACACTTGATATGATAGGAATGTTTTCCTAACTTAAGTGATGCATGGTCAGATAAAGTTCTTGGAGGATTCAAAGAAAGGCAAGGTGGTTTCAAAGAACTATTCACGAGGGGTGGCTTTTGTTGAGTTTACTGAACATCAACATGCAATAGTGGCTCTAAGAGTTCTTAATAACAATCCTGGTAATATTCTTGCATTAAAGTTTATATTCTTACATTCTCATATGGTACTAATGATTGACAACAATTTTGTAAGATATATTTCTGCTTGGGTTATTACTTTGTTCTGCATCTTCTCACTTTGCTTAGTTTAGGAATTAGGCATGAGAGTAAATGAAAGAATAGCATGGCTGATGCTAGTCATTATGTAATCCAAGAAATGAATTATTGGCCTTAGTGTTGACTTTTGTTTGTTTTATGAAAAAAGGATATCGATTCAACAAAGTTCCACATGAGGGTGCACTCTTCTATAGCCAGCTTGAAATGTATTTAACACATAACACCTTATTTACACAGATTCATCTTACATTAATCCAATTATTAAGCTTCCACCCTGCATTGAAGGGTTACACAACTGCGGGGGGGTAGCCCATGACGACGAGCAGGAGACCTTGCCAACCCGCTGGTTGGCACCTTGCAGGTTAGGTGGTATTTTTAACAAATAAGACTTATGATTTATTGGATATCATCCAATATAGTCAATTCTGCTCAGCAAAAAAGACTTGCACATTTATTATTTTGTATTGAAAATACTAAAATAATGCCAGAACATGACACTGAATAATGGATATGACTGGATATGACACTGAACCGAGCAGAATGGCAGAACATGATTCATGTAGCTAACCTGAGACTTGTAAATGTATATTGGAAGACATGATGATTATAATTGCTGAGTGTAGAACTGAAGAAGACAGAAAGAGGAAATGTCCGAATTAACTCAGCGTCTGTAAGCTCACCCTAGGTTGTGGTAATCACTCAAAACGCATGTACAAGGCTGAAAAACTCAAATAAATCAATTCTATTACTGTGTGAATCATCTATTCCATGCACATAATATAGACTTTAGTCCAGCCAAACTTGTATAACCAAGAATTCAGAAAATAGAAATAATTGTTCCTTAGCTTCTGGAAAAGAAAGGAAGCTATGACCAGACTTTCAAATTTTGAACATAAACCATCTATGACTGTTGTACTTGAGAGTCTCCTTAGCCGGACAAACAGAAAGTATGTAAAAAGACAAAAGAAAAGATACTGTTGCTGCAAACACACACACACACGCACACACACAGAAAATACATAAAACTCAGAAAATCACAAATTTGGATTCTCTACTCCAACAAATAAACAATGCGAAAATAATGAGATATATAAACATCATTCCTATAGTCAATTATCAAAAAAAAACATCATTCCTGTAGTGTATCTATATTTATTATGTATCCTGATCACTTAAGCATCCTTATGCTGGGTTGTCAAAATGTTGTTTCTGTCATTTGCAGAAACTTTTGGTCCTGAGCATCGCCCCATTGTGGAATTTGCTCTTGATAATATCCAAACATTGAAGAAGCGGAATGCTAAGCTACAGGCTCAGCAGCAGAGTGCAGGTTCTCATCTGGAAGATGTTCATCCAAAGACTGCGTTACAACAGAAAGATACTAGGAAGAAGTTAGGAAAAAGCAAAACTAGAGTTGATGACATACCATCTGAGGTAATAACCAGTAAAGACCATGAAGTGGATAGGGTCCAGAAAACAGGCAACAAAGAAGGATCAGCGGCAAAAAAGCACAAGGGAATTCCAGAAAGTGGGAGAAAAGGTGGGTTGACATCTGAGGAGTCAACTAGGAAGCCGAGCAGGCACCAGAAAATGACCAAACAGAAGGGTGGAAAATTATTTCATGGTGGAGATATGGTTGTTGGTACTGAAGACGAAAAGAAAGCAAAAGTAGAGATAGGTCCAAAGAAGAGGAAGCTACAGGATAGTGTTCATTCAGAAGAAATGATGGATAGGAAAAGCCTGAAGAAGAAAAAGAAAAAGAGCAAGAAATCAGAAGCATCGGATAAAGAACTAGTTGATAAACTTGACATGTTGATCGAACAGTATCGTTCAAAGTTTTCAAAGAGAAGCTCTTCAGACATGATTGGTGGTGAAAAACAAGGCTCAAGGCAAATCAGAAGATGGTTCCAGTCGTAGGTGTTTTCAACCTCTCTTTGTGAATCTTCAAGCATCGGAGAAAGTCTCTGTTGGCTTCCAGCGACTAATTTAAGAGATGGTTGCTAATGTTACGCACGAGGCAGTGTTAATCAGAAAAAAAAGAAGTTTTGCACGAGGCAGTGTATCTATTTGTAAAAGACCAGTTCTGATCTGTTGGGTAGTGTCCCCCATCCAAATAAGTGAGCTTTGGTTATGATCTGTGAGACGTTCTTCAACATTAATAGAATTTCTTCTCTTTTAGTTTCTAAAATATGCCACATCAGTAAAGAAGAAACGTTCTTGAAAATGTTTTTCCTTATAAGATGATTGAAAAAAATCAGTTTGATTTAGGAGAAAACCCCTGTTTCTGAAGCAATCAAAGGATGATTTAGACAAAGCAAGCGTGTTATCATTTATTCATTTTAGAAAGCTATCGTGGACTGGTTACATGCAAACTGAAATTCTTTTAGAGCCTCTTTAAAAAGTGCTGCCTCAAGGCTCCTATAGGTTACGCCAATCCACATTTAAATAATGTCAAAGCCTCCTGGAACCAGTAGGAGCCTTGAGGCAGTCTGTTCCCTCGAGGAATAAGCTATCGTGGCCTTGAGGCAGTCTGTTCCCTTGATGCTACATCTACGATCTATGTTCAATTTTTACTTGATGACTGGCAAGATTAGGTTTAGGGATAATTATTTAGGGTCCGTTTGATTCGCAGTCGGAATCGGAATCGGAATTGTCTATTCCTATATTCTGTTTGGTTCAGACAGGAGTGGGAATGAGAATTGGAACCAACAGAAATGAGATTTCATTCCCAAGGGAGGGGCAGCCGGTTAAGGAATGGCCATTTCCCTCAAATGGGGGAATGCCATTCCAGCAGGAATGGGAATGGGATTCCGATTCCGCCCAGTCAAACAGTTGGAATCGCCGATTCTGGACCGCTATTCTTGCGAATCAAAAACCGGGCCTTATATATTCTGTACGTTTACAAAACTACTTAAATGTACTATGTAGTTTCAATCAGTCAATACTCCTTTTCTGTAACTTTGTTTTATCGGTTTAATAGAGATGGATATCTAGTTCTCGATACTGATACTAAACACACGATAGAATATATATCAACCTTGGTTATCATGGATATTAACAGTCGAAACCATTAATATCCTCTAACTCTTGGTATTTTGAGTTTTGGTAACACTTGATACCAATACAATACACATGGTGATACGTATCGAGATTTTAAACCTTGTTGACAATTAATGGATAGATAGATTCTAGACTCCCAAATAAAAACGAAATTCACTGAAACATATAACTAAAGCAACAAGAGAAAAAAAAAACATGGCTGAGTTAATTGGACTATTTTATATGGGTGGTGTGAACTAGGGGTGTCAATGGACCGGTTCCAACTCAAAATCAAATTGGACAGATTGGATGGACCAATAAGACATATTGAATCTGACCAATCCAAACTTAGTGTTCCAATGTATTTGTTGGATTGGATTGGACCTGATCTATCCGTAATAAATTTATATTGGATTGGGGCAGATTAAGCCAATATTTGGTCCATTGATAGAAGATAAGAACATAAGTGTCAATAAACTAGGTTTGAATTGGAACCAATCTAAATTAAAACAAATTTAAATAGATTAGATGGTCCAAACATTGAATTGGACTGGTCTAAGATGATCCATAATATTCGTTGGATTGGATTGGACTGGGTCCATTTGCAATGGACTCAAATCGGGCTGGACCGGATTGGACCAAATCGACACCCCTGGCGTGAACAGAAAATATGAGCTGAGGTATACTGTTGAACTTGAGGCTGACTCAACATGTGTCAACCCGAAACCTGGTATCTTGCGCAGTTGGAGGGACATCTTTTCAGCGTAGAACATTTGCGCGTTTTAAACCTAACTTGTCCAAATATGAGATTCAGAAGAAATAGTTGTCATGCTGCGGGTAGGTCTGCTTTTGGTGGATATGCCAAACAAGGAGAGAATTAGAGAAACATTATCATGATATTTATTTCTTGGGTTCTGGGTCCTTGTCTTCTTTTTGATTAGGGTTGTTTGTCTTGTCTCTTCAATTTGTGGTTGCAGTAGCCACCACCCCTTGTTTCAGTTTGGAATATCACTCAGTTGAATAGGAGATGGATGAGTGGAAAAAAAAAAAGAAACTAAAAATTAACAGGGTTAGAAATAAAGTTATTTATATGAAAGAGAATTGGCTCCAATGGATGATCAAATAAGAGAAAATAGGTTAAAATGATTTGGTCACTTGTGTAAATGACATTTACAGTTAGGGGTGCTTAACTGAACCTGGGTTCTTTTTCGAAATCGAACTGATACCACCAGTTTTTACAATTCTCCAAATCAATATAGATTCATTTTTCGGTTCTCGATTTTCTTGATTTAGTTCAATTTTTTATTTTTATTGAGTACCCATATGTACAATAGCGGTTTGAAGAAACGATTGATTTGGAAACCGAAGGGAGGGCAAAAGGAAATGAGTTGAAGTAGTAAGTAATGGTTTAAGCACTCATACAAATTAACAACGGTTATGTCATTAAAATACAGGATTCATGTGGATGACCCCATATAGTCTTAGATGATGATGAGGATGATTCAGTTAAATTGGAAACAACTTGGGTTTTCTGTAACCAGTGGACTAGAATGAGGATTATAATTTGATAAAGTTCATTATTTGGAGATGACAAATAAAGTATTATCAAGAAATAAAAATGGCTCCTAGCTAATTGGGTCAAGTAGGGAACTTCCCTACACGACCCCACCTATTTCTTTCACATGGTTAAATCCTCTGGCTGATCTATATTGTCACTAGATTAGGGACCCGCTTGGTTGTCCATTACATACTAAAATGCATTTACCATATAAGTTTTTTCTTAGGAGAGACCATTTTGGATTTTAATTGGTTGCTAAATTGACATTCAATAATGTGAAGTAAAAAAAAAAAATAATAAATAAATTGAACAAAAAACATCATATATATTCCTCTACATTTTGTTGTCCTATTTATATTCAAAATAACTAGAAAAGAAATAAAAAGTCTTTTCTACTTCAATCCATTTGCACCACTGTCCCATACTTCAATCGATTTGCACTGCTTCCTATCAACAAAGCTTACAATTGCTCCGTCCTTCATTCTAAAATCTAAATATTTGTGGTCTTCATTGTCCTTGAACAGTTGAAAAAGCCAAAAGCCAAAAGCCAAAAGCCAATTTAATTTAATTTGATCTCTCTCTCATAATATAATTTCCAATAAGAAGCAAACGTTGGCAGCATTTTCAATGTCAGACTAACGTACCAACGAGTTGTAATTATTATTATTATTATTATTATTTTGTTTTTTTGTGCCTTGTATTGGTTTGGGATGAGAGGGTAAGGTTGTGTGCTTCGTTGTTGGGTTTTGCGGCAAGGTCAGCTACGTTGTATTGATTTACCTCCCTTTTGCTAATCGCTAATAAAATTTTTAGGCGGCTCCCCTCTACCTAGAGTAAACTTAGGGGAATAAAAAAATAATTCTAATTAATAATCTCTAAGAAGGAGCAAAAACTCTTAATTTCTACAATTTGTTATTAGTCAATAAAACAAACAACCTTTGTCCCATTCTTACCGCTGTTTTAAAAGCATTTAGGCCCTGTTCGGTTTGCGGGAAAAAAGAGTTTGGAATGATTTATTTTGATTCCAACTGTTTGGTTGGACGGAATCGAAATCTCATTCTTATTTGTGCTAGAATGGTATTCTCCCGTCTGAGGGAATGGGTATTTCATGTTAATGAAATTCTATTCTTACTGATTTTAATTCTCATTCCCATTTTTGTCTGGATTAAATAAATTATGAGAATAGACATTCCGATTCAGATTCTAAAAAATTCAAATCCGATTCCAACCACAAACCAAACGGACCCTTATTTTCGTCAACCCAACATTTAAACATTAAAAATATTTTATGTTATAACAATGACTGATGACCGGCAGAACCACCACTTTGAACATTTCAGACTGAAATATTACCATTATTTCTGCCACTGACACAGTGGGTTACTCTTCTATTTTGTTTTGATCGATGCGAATCACAATCAAAACAAACTTTTCATAATGGAAGGGACAAAAGTATACCTCAAACATTTCAGCCTGAATCATTTATGAAGGCATAGGAAATGACCCCATTAGGCCATTAAAGCAGCCAAGGAGCTGGGTCCATTCCTTCTACTACACTGTGGACCCTAATCAGGTGGAGCCTGTAGTCAAAACAAGACAAGGATAGTAGCTAGCTAGGGTCTTTTGTGATGTTCTGGCTTATAACTATGAAAGATCAATCACACTATATATTGCTGTCCCCCCTTTACCCCGGGCCACATAAATTAATAATTTGGAAAGAAGAGTGAGGTTGCTGCTTGAAAATTTTCGATTAATAACTTGTATTTTGGTCTCTGAATTTTAAAATGTGATAATTTAATATTTGAATTTTGAAAATGTGCCAATTCAGTACCTGTTGTTAATTAACCATCAATTATGTGTATCACATAATAATATAGGCAGTTTAAAATTTTTAAAAATGTCGAAAATTATCCTTTTAAATCACTGTTTATCATCTTCTTCCTCAGGAATTAGAATTGAACCAAATCAATGGTGAAAAACCCCAAACTCGCCAGGGTTTCAGCACTTGTCACATTCGTTAGTTGGGGATTTGAGGGGAGTCATTTGGTTTTTCTAGGAGTTGGATCATTATCGCTCCCTTGCAAAATTGTACCAAAACCTTGTACCTCGGTTTCATCTTCTCAAGGAAGAAGATGATCAAGTATTTTAGTTTTGAGATAGGCATTTGGATGATTAATAAGAAAATAAGATAACACCCAAAGGGCATTTGTATCTTTTCACATATCATTTAACGGCAAATACCGGATTGACACATTTTGAAAGTTCGGATACTGAATTATTGCATTTTAAAATTGGAGGGCCAAAGTGACACTAGGCTCAAAGTACAAGAAACTAATCGATAAATTTTCAAAACAATAAACTTTTCAGTTAAGTCACTTCAGTGTAGCTAATCCAAGCATTAGTCAGTTATAAACATGGTTGATTAAGAAGAAAAGACAAGTGGCTCCAGAACCAGATGGGTTAGGCGAATGGTGAAGACACAAGAACCGCCACCCCCTTGACATGGAGTTGGAGGGATATCTTATCAGCTTAGCCCACTTGAATCTTCTGCTTCCATTTGTCCAAGTTGTAGATTTGGACGACACAGTTGAGATCCTGGTTTTGACTTTTTTTGCTACTCACTTGGTTGTTTTTTTTCCTGGTGGGATAGGCCAACCAAGGAAGCCACAACATTACATCATGAATGAAAACCACTAGTCACTGTTTGGATTTTCCCCTAAGATTTTGGGAAGATCCGGGTGGTTGGCTATTTTTTGTTGGTATTAGTCAGTTTACTTCATCTCGATTCAATTCCGTTGTTAGTCTCCTCATCTTTCATCTGAATAACGAGAATTTATCATATCCAGCTTAAGTTAATTGCCCAATAATAGATGGTTAACATGTGGACCCCTTTTGTGTGGTAGAAGTAGAACTGTGGAACGTTTACATGTGGGCAACTACCAATGTGTATGTGCTTTTTGGATCATCAGACTGAAATGAGAGAAGAAATTTCAATTCTCTCTTGAGACTTGAGAGACTTAAAGCTCAAGTTGGGTCCCTAAGACAAAGTCGCCTCCGATCCACACACATGTATGGGTTCTTGAAGTTGATTAATCACCTCTCAATTAAAGTCAGCATCAATCTTTCTTTCAGTTTCAGTGCCTTCAAAAGTCACTAACTAGGTAACCGACTATAACAACAAGTGTGGAAATTAAGAGGAGAAAGCTTGGCAACAAATCACAGGGAGGCTTTTGGGGGTCCAATCTTCCTTTTCAGAACAGTTTCAATTGCATATCCCCAGGAATTTCAATATATATTTCTAATCATATTTCAACATGTTACATGGTCTATTTACTTTTATTATTTGTTTTATGGTGAAATTGGGGCCACTACTTTATTAATTTAATAGTATCATCTTGAACTGGAAAGTGTGAGAATGTGAATTTGAGTATGATATCCGTCACTTGGTGCAAAAAAACGTCAAAGATTATGATCGTATCCAATCTACCATATATACAAAACAAAGTATCAGATCTATCTCCACTTGAAAAGAGCTCACCCAAAATTTACCTTTCATTTTTTGGGTCAGCACTCAGCAGGGTCTACCTGGAATGGGATCAATACCACGTCAGACTCAATATTCACCGTATTCCCCACGTTCCATAATCTTTAAATATTCCCTAAATACATACGTCTTGAGGCCCACCTTTAGGCTTCAGCCATCCAGAGATAAGGAAGAGTTATTCCTGATAACCCAAAATCCAGATTCAAATCTTTGTACAAAAATAAAATCCGGGTCTTGTTAAAAGTTCAAGCCTAGCTATCAATTTGACTCGACCATATTCCAGTTAATATTAGCCATGTGGCTGTGGTATCAGCCAATAGGAAGAGGATTGTATCGGGTCATAGGCTACCAGCCAGCATGCCAGAATCGGGATTTCCTTTTTCACACAATGCATCTAATACCAACTTCACAGAACATCCCATCGACTATTGATAACATTTCCCCATTAATACTAATAATATACAAGTATGAGAGATATTCCTAATGGATCGGATTCGATCTAATCCTATTTGATCGAATTTGGATCACCTCATTTCGGATCGGATCAAATAATAGCATTCTATCAAAATTTGGATCGGATTCAAATTACCCCTATCCGATCTAACATATATGCTATATATATATATATATATAATATGTTATTTATTTATTTATAAATATATTATTTATATTGTATTTTTGTAAATTTGTTATACTATTTAGTTTTTATAAAAATGTATATATATATATATATATATATATATATATGATGATGAAAATAATAAAAAATAGTTGTATTTTTTCTTTATTTAAATTGGTACATTTTATTTTTCTTTTAATAATTTATTAATTTTTAAAGAAAACAAATTAAATTGGATCAGATTCGAATATCCAACTTCTCAATCAAATTCAAATTCAGATCCGTATCTATCAGACCTAATTAGATCTTTGAATTTACAATTAACAATGTCGAATCAAATTCAAATATACCCTAATTCGAATACGATTCAATCTATTTGCATCCTTAGGTCCTTGTCATCACAAAATTAAACCCACCAAAGTAATGGGTTGGGTGAACATTCAGAATCTTCATTCCACACTCTTAATCCATTATAGGAGAAGGTTTTTGATTCACTGTTACACTACATGTCGATGTTATGGTTGAGAATTGAGATAAGCCATGATGATGCCTATGAATCGGAATCTGCTGCAAGAGATTCAACGGTTCAGAACATATGTGAAAATCCTACTTTTTATTTTATTTTATTTTATTTTTTACTTAGATGTTAGTAGACCTAGCAAAAAGTTGACCCAACCCATGAACCTGACCCAACCCAACCCGAAAAAATAGGGTTAGGGTCTCATGTTTAGCTACCTGAATGTGAGAATGATCGGACCCAGAAAAAATTGGGTTGGGTTGGGTTGAGTCATGGGTCAACTCGTTGACCCGATTGTCAAGTCTAATTGAGACTATTTATGCATTGTTAGAAGTTTCCACTCTTTAATTTTTTCTATTTAGTCTTTACTCTTTAAATTGTTAAATGTTCAAGCTTTTTTATTTTATATTTGAAATTTTAAGGTTAATTCCTTTAATTTTGACATTTTTATGTAGTTTTTCTTTTTTTTTTTTTAAATTTCAGTTATTTTTTGGATGACCCAAATTGTCTATGAGTCAACCCTAACCCAAAGGATCTAGGGTCTAACATTTGATAACCCAACCCAAAATTAAACCTGACGCGAAATCAACCCAAAAGGTGTTGACCCAACCCGAACTCGACCCACCCAACCCAATTGCCAGTTCTAAATGTTAGATAATATGTAATGCCTGTAAAGGTTGTTGATTCTTTTGGGCGGTGTACCCTTTTTTCTGGCTACTCCATGTTTTTGCTGTAAATCGAAGGGATAGAATTTGTTGGCCGGTGCAATTATTTGGATATCGGTCCCATACATCAAGGGATCTAACGACATCAAACGTGTCCTGATTGGTGTACATTTGTGCCACGTGTACCAAGGTAACCAGGAATGTGATTGATTCACATTTTGCTGTCCCCCAACCCTTCAGTTTTGTAAAAGATGCATGCTTATCTTAATACCAAGCAGCAAAATGCACCTTATCCCGAATGAACACGTCACCAGTCTAACCGCGATAGGACCCACCACCACCACCACGCAAGGCTTCCATCAGAGGAAAAGGTTTCGGTTAGGTACTATCGCTTTTAACGGTGGATGATGAATCCACGCCTCCTTATCTTTATCAAATTTTTTGAATGCTCAAAATTCACCGTGAAATACCTACTACAATTCATTTAATAGGAACAAAGGTAAAAAGTAGTACAAATTGATGGATTAGCGGAACAAATCAAAAAACGTAATTACAGCGGTAAAGTTGGCAGAGCCAATTACATGCAGAACGTGAAAGAAAGAAATACGTAACGTAACGTAAGACAGTAGTAAAATCGGGTATCCGGATGATGGGATGACTGAAGTGGGAGCAGCTCAGCTGTGAAAAGACAAGATTCGGAGGCAACGGTCGGGTTGTCCGGGATCACGGCTGCTGCACTGCTGCAGCACATGACATATGAAGGACAAGATATGGGCCCCACGAATCTCTCGTCACTCAGCCGTTAGATATTTAATGCCCTTGGAGTCCTCGACAATAACTGCTCAACTATCACACCATAACACAATCCCAACCCATAATCACAGCATCCAAAACCAAAACTAAATTAAAAAAAAGAAAAAGAAAAACTACTATTCTCTTTTCAGCCCTGTACAAATATTTTGTTTGTTGTTAGCTGGCGCTGTGACGTGGTCACCCATTCACCAAGATGAGGATGACGTGGAAGAGGTGAAGGCAGGTTGAAATATACGTTGGCCCGTTGCTAGAATGCGCTTGGGGTCGAACTCCATCTTCCGCTTGACAAATAAATCCCACTTCTCTCCGAAGTGGGCCTTCCATTCCTCTTGTGTGCTGTGATTGGGCAGGTAATGCTTCACTTTGATCCCCGCCTCGTTGCAGAATCTGAGAATCTGACGGTTCTGGTTGTTCAAGTACTCCATCGTTTGTGTTTCTTCCCCGGAATCCAGTGCCGATCGAAGCAGTCCTACAAGGTAAAATATGTCCTCGTCTGGAGTTACCACCGAGCTCCGATGGTCCCATCTGCATCATAGCAACAAAAAGACTTGGTGTTTTACTTCCAAGAAGTTGGAAATTTGGAATCTGATGAGTGACTCATGGAGTTTTACGTGGGGGCCCAGTTTGTCCGGCCTTGATTAAACTTGTTATATATATATATATATATATATATATATATATATATATATATATATATATNTATATGTGGTTGAATTGAAAGGCACTTAAAGGGTTTGTGTTTTTATTTGGGTGTCTAACACACATGTAAGTACAGAGTGATAAAGAACCAAGCAGTGGTCCTACACTTGGAAGATCTCTTAAGTCAGCCCAATCGAATGATCTCAGCCGTCAGACACAGTGATAAGTGATAACAGTTTAAAAGGTTATGGTTTGTCATCATCGAATCCGGATGATCTTAGGCATCTGAGAATATGAGACACGTGTACGGTAGATAAACTGTACCATTCTTGGTAAAAAAGAATAGGTTCCAATTTCTTATTTCCTAATAAGGCGGTACAGACAATCTCCCAAAGGACATTTTTGTTCTTTAACGGCTCATCATCTAACGTACGGTTCGTCTTTTCCAATGAGCGCGCTCTCATTGGTTGCGTCCTACTTGTTAATCTCAGATTGGATGAATCAAAGCTAACTATAAGTAATTTTGCAGCCAAACGATTGACTCGTCCATGCATTGTATACGCTATACAAGATTTTACAGAAAAGAGGAGATCCAGCACCAGAACGAGGAACTTACTTGTTTTTGTTCATGGGGTAGATGAGAATGGGCCCACTTGTTTTGTTTCCCAAAATACCCTTGAAGACACCACGGTCAAAATCGGCAATTCTGGACTTGGGAACAAATAGATTTAGCCATGGATGGGGAACATCCCACAGACCCTTGGACCGGAGCTTTAACTCGGCCTTGTGAACCCGGTCCAAGAAATCCAGATAAGGAATATCTGTAGTGAAGATCGTTGTCGGTATAAAATCCAACTTCTTTAGCAGAGCCCCGACTTCCTGCAATTTAGTGATCCAAATTCGGAACCAAATTAATTACACTCTAGTAATCTTGATTATTTAATTCACAAGTTAATCAGTAAACTAAGCGGCGAGAGAGCGAGCAGAAAAAGGTTGTTTTTGTCAGGATAACTAGGATTAGGATTTGGATTTGTTTAAAACTTAAAAAGCATTTAGTTAGCTAGGGAAAATCATTTGGTGGTTGGACGGCTGAGATTTGGTTAAGTAAATATTAAAGAATAGATTACAGAAGATCTTTGCATGTTGCGATGTGGAAGTCTTATTGATATTTGTGGTAAATGTTAGTAATGGTGTAGAAGAATGGACAGACACAACACAAGGGAATAATCTGACCCTTTAAAAATTAAAATATTAGGGGCAATACAGCATGAAGAGACAAAAGGAATAAGCTATTTAATTGTTCTGGTTTATTCCTGCAGACGTAGCTAGCTAGCTAGCCTAGGAATGATCAAGGTATGCGTGCATGGTGGTTTTGATTTAGGATTAGGAGTATTATACCTGATCGACGGTATCGGCAGTAGATTCATCGTAATTCTTTGTGACCTCCAAGCAGTACAAGACACCACCATTAGCGGCACCAAGAGAGCTGATCTTGACGGGGTTACGAGGGGAGAAGAAGGAGGATCTCCAGTTATTGATGAGCCCTTCATCTACAATAACAAAACCTTCGACATAGTCGAACCTATCAGTTGAAGGGTTACCATGCAGAGAGATGAGGTACTCCTGGTCCTTTGTGAAAGCTGAGAAATTGGAGTACAGCACCCGAATCCACCTTACCTACACACCCCACAACAAGTTAAAACGGGCACAGGAAAATGAGAAAAACGAGACTACGTACGTTGGAATGGAACGTGAGACACGTCACAACACTGCCAGCCTTCACACAGCCGTTTTTGAAAGGGTTCAGAGGTTCAAATGGACCCAACTCAGCAACTCTAATTGAGTCCTTTGGCTGCTTCTTAAGTTGGCTTGCTCATAATTAATGCCTAAAAAGTATTATGGGGGCTTCGGTCGGCCTAACCACAACGAGATGCGCGTCCCTACTCCCCACCCAACAGAAGAAAACAAGCTCTCCTTTCTGGACTTTATAAAGGGAAAGAGATCTAGAGAGAGAGAGAGAGAGAGAGAAGGAGAGGGTACCCTTTGTGGAGCCGGTTCTAGAGCAATTCTGGCCCTAGTTATGATGCCAAACTGTCCTAAGCCACCAAGAACCGCATGGAATAGTTCTGAATTATGTTCATTTGAACATGTTACCACCTCTCCCTTCCCTGTAACAGAAACATGGATAAACATAGTGAGGTCCCAACAATGGAGGAGAGATAGGGAGAAATATGAATGTTATATAAAAGTTATTAATTAAGAAATTAAAGAGGTATATTGCATAAAAAGTGTAAAAAAAAAACCCATATGAAAATATATCCAAAAAAGGGCCATAAAATTAAGAAAACGATGAAAAAGCAAAAGTGAGTATTGAAAAGATTAAAGTTGGATAAGCGATACTAGAGGGGTCATGTGAAAATAATCAAAGCTGGGTATGTGAGAAAAAAAAAAAAAACAAATAATACTAGCATATATGATAAGAAAGTTAGCTAGAGATGGAAATCTAAAGAAGCCAAAATGTAATTAATTAATAGAATGAAACTCTTTATTCATTTGTTTCCATGAGAGAGAGCATGGGAGCTGGAAGGTAGAGGTGTGATTAAAACCTGTAACAACGTCGAGTTCATAGACATTGGTAATCTGAGGGCCGTGGTTGAATGCTTGACCGCTAATGCCAGCATTAGAAAGGGTTCCGCCCACGGACAGATACAAGTAATCGGTCCAGGACCGTGGTGCAAGTCCGTATTCGAGAGTTGAGTTCAATACATCTATCCATAGCTCTCCACCCCAGACGTCCATGTAGCTGCAGCTGGGCTTGTCTCCCAAAAGGAGAGTAGGGCGAGCTGCTGGGTTTCCCTGCAGACTGATCCGGTTTCGCTTGGAGGTGGAGCTGCTCATGGCAATCACAACCCCATCGGTTGCATGGGCCTGGCCGTTGATGGAATGCCCGTGTCCTCTGGCCGAGACAGTGAAGCCCTGAGCCGACTGGTAAGCGGTGCGAACCAACCCGGCGATGTCGTCAGCCGAGGCCGGGTGTAATACGGCTAACGGCTTAACTTGGGTCATTCTACCGAAATCAAGGGAGACGGTTTCCACGTCGGCGGCGTCGACGCTAAGCTGGCCGTCGAAACCCAGGCCGAGGAGGCCGTTGGGGTCCACCGTTAATCCGACGGTGGAGAGTAAATGATAGATGACGAATGATAGAATGAGAGGCTTGGTGGTTGGCATATCTGTGCTGTCAGTGTGTTGGGCTTTTAATTTATAGAAGAGAAGCGGGGGGTAGCCGACTAGCCGTGGCCCGTCCCGTGGTGGCGTGGTGGAGGAGGACTGGAGGATAGGAATATAGGATAGCAAAAACTACGAGTGCAACCCGGCGAAGCGAAGGAATGAGTGAGTGAGGGGATGGATCTACTGGGCTGGGCTGGGTCTGGCTGAAACTTCGGGGATAATGGATATGGAACAAAATCTTGTGCAGCAGCGTGGGGAGCCGTGGTGCTAACGTAAGCCGGATTGCGCTTTAAAGATTTTCTACGCAACAAGCACAGATTCGCGCTCTTTCTCTCTCCATCTCATTCTCATACTCGCTTTATTACAATGTTTGCAGCAGGGCGAAGAACGAAGTGAATATTTATATATATAGAGAGAGAGAGAGAGAGAGAGAGAGAGAGAAAAGTAAGGAGTAAGGAGGGCACTGGGGTGGGAAGGGGCTGGCGGGCTGCTATCTTTCTCTATCTCCGTTTCTCTCTGTGTCAAGGGTTTAAGATACAGGCCATCAATTTATAGGACAAGAACGGGAGGCATGATGACACGTGGAGCCCTGCGTTGTAAAATGATGGGACGACACGTGTGAAGAGAAAGAGTGGAGATGAAGGTGGTACAGAGTGGGGACCACCAGGGGGATACGGAGGATCTGTGTGGGGACGAGGGCTTGTGAACGTTCACGTGGGTGCAGAGAAGGCGACGGTGTTTGGGCAAAAGCCCAACCAATGCACTTTGCACTGCAGACTCCTCCATTCACTTTTATTTATCTCTCATGGTCATGGATCAGCAACTCAGCCCGTGCCCGTCATCGCTTAATTATTAGCTCCAATTCTACTTAATCATTTAATTTTCTTTAACCTATGAATTAATTATAAGGGATTAATTAGGGATATATTCTAATATTCATATTTCGGTGGTGGTACGATTATTGGTGATCATTTATGATACATCTTACCCAGATCCGGGTTATGTATATTTGTTGTGGTATAACATTTTACTAAATAGTATGTATGTGGCATTTATTATTATATAGAGAATAACTTTTTAAATATGTTTTTATGTAATTATGAATATCAGATTAAATTTTAATTTATATGGACCAACCCGGATGTCCAGCCCGGCACCTTGTCAGGCCTTAATACTGTTGATACCCTATAAAACCCTGGTCCATGATAATATATAGATCCATGCATGGTTCATTCATTCGCATGTGTTCGATGTGCCAACGCCCCTGAAGAGGATGCTGCTGCATGCCGAGCAGCTGAGTGAGGTGATAAAGCAACTTGGCAATTTAAGACCCAAAGCAGACTAACTGATTAACGTCACTAGTTCAAACTTGGGTTTCTTCTGAAAACAAACAAAGGAAAAGCCAATTTTTCAAACAGGCTTTTGCAGTAAATTTGCTTAATTACAGTTTCTTTAGTTAATAATAAATTTGTCAAAAACAAAAGCAACAAGGGTAAAGTAAAAGTGCAAAACCTTTCCCCTTCCCCAGCAGCTTTGGTAATGGTGGGTGTGGGTGACCTACGTTTCTTGAACTCGAGAGTCGAGACTGACTGGAGCTGGACCCACCTGCGCTCTAAGGTTTTGGACCCTAAAACAGTTTTTATATGGTGGAGAGATTCTTTCTGTTTAGTGTAGCTAATAAATGAATCCATGTAACTTTTTTTTTTTTTTTTACATTTCTGAAGTTGTGGATCACTCACTACAAGAATATAGAGGTTTTTAGCAACCAGAAAAACCATAGTTAAAAGTCTAAATTTTGTCGTTCAAATCTTTTAACGATGAGAGTATATACCGTCACCGTTTGCCGTTAAAAACCTAAGTGACGAGTTGAAAATTTCGATCGCTAAAACTTATTAATGACAAAGATTCCACCTGTTGTTAAAAATATCACAATAACTATAAACAAATCTAGTCACTATTAATTCAAAATTATTAACGACGGTTCATGTTGTCCCTACTAAATACATCATAACGACTAAAAATATTATCACTAATAAGTTTAAAACTAATAATAACCAATGCATACCGTCGCTATTGATTTATTGATTTCATTTTTAATCCAAATAACAATAATGACCACTTTATACCATCATCGATTAAATGAATCCATTAAGACAATACATAACCAATATATTAATAGTTGAAATTCCTTACATTTCATTGTGATATTAAATAACCATATACTTTACCCAAATAAGTACAAAATTAGTAAAATGAAAATCCATAATATTTATATTAATAAAATAATTTTTCATTAATAATCATAACAAGAAGATTCACTTAATACAAATTTCTAAATAAACAAATCTCCATCATCTCAACAAGTACAATATGTTGTTATAAAATTAACTTGAACTCATAATTCATATGCTATCTAGAAAAAGAAACTTTGTTGTGTTCTTCAAAATGGATAGATGGATGAAATAATCTTCTTGGTCTAAACGCTTCATCTTCAATTACCTGCACAAAGGAGAAATAAACAACATACATATTAGGAAAGCAATTCTAAAAATGCAAAAAAAAAAAAAAAACCAAGGGCATCAAATGTAATTATTGCCAATTGTTCTGACCATTAAACTTCATGCCTTCATGTCTACTTAGTGTATGTACAAGTTCAAAAACAAAAAATTAGAATTGATCATATACCTTTAGGTTGTATCAAATCCAACATTTGCTTCAACAAACCAATTCCTCAAATCCCCCACATAAAGTATCATGTACACAAACTATATGCAAGACAAGAAGAAAATAAAGTTAGTAATGAGAAAAAATTCAACACATTCTGTGTCTATACACTTCAATAAAGAAAACCTAATTTATACTTATTTACCTAAATTATAAATCCCATGTTATTTACTTAAAAGAGAGCTAAGTCACAACCTTAAATTCTATAGGCTCATAAATCAAAGGTCATCCAATTTAATTCCCATCAAATCCATTGCTTGATCTACTCTACATGGTTATTAATTCACAACCTTTAGAGAGATGTCATCTGATGCTAGAAAGTTGGGTGTTATGCTCTAGGAACCACTCTTTAATCTTTTTGTCAACAACTTCAAGAAACACCAAATTTCTATATTTTATGAAATCCTATTCTCAAAAGGTCTATAACCTAAACAAGAGGTACCTCTACAACTTATGTTTGAGATTTTGAGAACTACAAAACATGAAAAGTATAGAAAAGTGGTAAGCATACTAACTCCTATAATGTTTGTTCCATATTTTCTTGCCAAAATAGTTGTAGTTATTGTAGCCTTCTAATAGAAGATTAAATGACTGATATTAGTTGGCAAAGACAAGGGTAGTAAATTAGTAATTGAAGTTGAAGATCTCTTCAACCATCCAGTTAAACTTTCATAAATTGTGTAAACTGTTTTTTGAATTATCTTTTTCTACTTGGGTTCATCACTAATATCTTCTTTGAGAGTTCCATGGCTTCTCCACCTGAAGAGAAGTTTGGTACTTCAAATAGGTAGGTGACTCCATATATCCCACTTAATAATTGAGGGTGATTCCAAAAATGTAGTCAAGTCTCAACAAAATGTGGGCAGCAATCCATGGAAGCTGGTACACTGCCTTAATTTAATAAGAGAACTTGGCTATGATCATTGTCTAGGCAAGGTGGATCCCAAGAGAGTTTTCTTTCATAAGTTGATATGTTTGCAAAATCAAGAATTGATGTTTCTTTTTGTATAGTGATAGCACCATGCCTGAGTGGATTTAATTTAGGTGGGGATTACCTGTCTATATCTTGCACAAGATCAACAAGCAGTACAGTACCTCACCTTGAGGAACCATCATATTTTGGTTCAAATTGGGAAACAAAAAGGTTAGAGTCATAGCCTTTAACAATGAAACCTCCATATTAATTTGTTTTAATGAAACAATGAACCATATTCTAAGGTGATATGAGGAAACAATAGTAAAACCAATATGCACCAAAGAAAAACATAACATATCATAGTTTTGTCAAATAATTACACAAAGGGTCAAATGAATACTTGTATTAATCCAATCTTGGATAATTTTCTTGCAAAGAATTCCTTAAATAACAGTGTGAGACTCTTGCTTTCGAAATGTTCAAAATATAGACCCAATCTAGATCTGAAGTTTTCATTTTAAAATCTCTAAGATCTATATCTATGTCAGGTTTTCCTTCCCATGATAATGATAATATGTGACTGGGGGTTGAATAGGAATGCCAAAACCTTTTTATAGACATGCAACCCTTTACATTCAGATTTTAAGAATTTTTGATAAATGGTGCTTTCATGCTTTCGTTTTTGAGAAAGAATTTTAAGAATCAAATCTGAAATCTCGTTTAAGGATTGGAATCAGATTTTATATTTAGAATGGGAATTTGATAAATGGTGCTTTCATGCTTTTAAGTTGTAAAGTCCAAGCCAAAATCATTCAAAAATACTAAAATTAAGTTCTCGACAAGTGAGAAAAACAACTGTTCATGAAGGAAAATCAGATTGAAAACCAAAATGAAAATACCACTTATTATAATTCCCAATTCAGAGAAAATGAACTTTTAGGTTATTTTCAAGCCTAATCCAAATTTAACTTTTAAGGACTAGAATTAACAATCCCGTTCTTATTTAAACCCTTAACAATATAATTCCTAAGTCAAAAACTAAAACATCCCAAACTACAATGGTGAAACATGAACCGTTAAAGATTTCAACCGACCCATCCGGATGATTAAAGTCATGCGAATTGACATCCACCCACCAAGCAATAAAGACAAATTTCAATCATGGATCAGTACCAACCAAAGAAATAAAAATGCAAATTTCAATGCTAGTAATCAAATCTCTAGAAAATGGTTCGTATGTGCTAAGTATTCAATTCGGACAACAAAAATGAACTAGAGAAATGGAACCTATCCTAAGACAAGTCAACTCTTAATGTAAAATATCCATTTGATCAAATGGAAATACTGCCATTTGATCAAAATCACACAACATAGAAGCACGACACCTACAGACAAATAACGACTTTAATTCAGACCTATCCACATTAATATTTGATTAAAATCGGAAATTTATAGGCTCAGTTTGGAAGGAGTATAGAGTGCAAATCCTTATTTGTATTGTACATATTTGCATTTATACTAATCTGAAATCAAAACTTTACTTGCTCTCTCTCTCTCTCAATCCCAACAAACATCATTCAGGGACTTTTTCATACAAAATCAAATTTAGAATATATCAAATGCATAAAGGAAAGCAAATATCGATATAATAAATCAAAATTGATATTTTAGTTACAAGCAAATCAAAATTAGTGAAAGCAAACTTGTAAATTGAAGCAACTTGCAAATTCCAAACACAAAATCAGAGCTCCAAACAACAACTAAATACTGACTTTAATTTTGAAAACAAAAATAGAAATAAAAAAAGGGAAGACAAGGCCACTCAATCAGTTCCCAATAAAAAAAAAAAAAAC